ATATGAAATAAAATATATTTAAACTTTTATTATTCATATCTCGCTTTTCAATCATTACATTATATTCTGTCACTCTTTTTACACTCCATTTCTTCTAACGAATTATCGCTTGAAATGAATTTGTTTTTAATTTAAGCGTAAATTTCTTTTGAGCCCTAATCTCCTCTTTGCACACAAAACTCTTTTACATCCCATTTATAATCAATTCATTTATTATTCAACTCTTTCTTTTACAATAGAAGTAGTAATCCTTCAAAATCTAATAAATAATTAAATCTCAAACCAAATAGTCTTATCTGATGTGCCAATCGATATTACACTTACCTTATAGTATCTACTAATCAGATATTCTGCTCAATATATGTACTGAATATACCGGTAATACCATTGAATATATAACAGTGAAATTCATGAAAATTTATTTTTCCCAAAAATTCAATTAATATTAATATATTTATCTCAATGGAGTCAATGGAGACGGCATTCAAATAATATAATCGCAAAAACGCAGACATAATCTCAAATGTAATGAAAAACTACGGAATTTAAATAAAATATATATACATTTCGACAGAAACTGAATGCCATATTAAATAATCAAAATCTAATTCACTTAACCTATGCTTACAATAAAAAACTTATATATAAGAAAAAGATTCTTTAAATCGTTGAACACATTATAATTTGAAAGGAAATTCTATACATTTTTTCCCAGAGAGAGAGAGAGAGAGAGAGAGAGAGAGTAAAATCATTTTTCAAACTCCAGATCCCAATGATTATAATCACAGCATTCCAATGTGTCAACGTAGTGTAAACTTATAAAAAATAATGCACATTATTCATACACTATTGACATTTATAGTGAGTAATACATAAAAATTACCAAGGTTAAACATTAACCACGTTTAAATAATACAAGCCCCTTTCTATTTTGGAATCCGCTGATTATAATGTTTGATGCGATGATCTTTTGATAAATGGTTTGCAATGTCGAGCATTTATAGTCAATCAATCATTTGCTAATAAATATTTTCGTCGGACATTCCGCTGCCGCCGAGAAAAACCATTTTCTCCTATTCTTTACACTAAACAGAATATTCTGTAACAGAATATATGCCACAGAAAAAGCCGAAAACATAATTTTCTACTAACTTTTGCTTTCAATAAACTAAGAAATATTTTCACATCACTTTTCCCGATATACAATTCCTTACATTTTATTTATTATTATTATTTTGTTTTTTACTTTTAGGGCACAGAATGTAATCATTTTTAGAGCAAATTCTTTGGTGTATTATATAATGACAGCAAATATTGAAGGACAGAGAAATGTGTATTGAATTTGGGATTCATTTCAATTAAGTCGAGTGGAAAGAGTGTTAGGAAAACGATTAGCAAATAGTATGCCATCCAATGAAAAGACCGACACTTTTTTGAAATCTAATCTTTAAATTGATTGAAGAGTTGATTCACTAGTATCTCGTTTTCTGTCTAACATATGGCCATCCAATGGATAGATATCCTAAACAGATATATATATATATATATAATGGAAGAGTTGGTCAACTTTTAGGCCATTTATTAACGTAAGTGAAAGGAAAGGCAACTGAAAGGCAAGAATGAAAAGAAGGCACAGAAATAGAGAGAAGAAAAAGGAAACCATTGAATGCCGTAATGAGTGAAAAGAATGGTCAAAACGAGTCGTTATAAAGAGTTTTTCATTCTATAGACAAAAGTGAAGCCAAAACTCTAAGGAAAATGCAATCAAAAGCATAAGGAATCAAATGATTTAGTGCTGCAAATAGACTGAACGGTACTGAAGGGATGCGGCACTGAAGGCGAGAGAGAGAGAGAGAGAGAGAGAGAGAGAGAGAGAGAGAGAGAGAGAGAGAGAGAGAGAGAGAGAGA